GTCCCAGGGCCTTAGTGAGACTTACCTTTGGTCTCCCAACACACACAGTGAATATGGGTGATACTATCACATACGATGGGGCCAAGACTGAGCAAAAAGGCTACAGCTGTCCAGTGTGATCTGAGTGTCCTGAGCTGCCCAGATGCACTCTCTGCGTCCTGACGTGTGTAAGCAGCCTTGATCTCCTACCATGCCGGTCAAAGCTTGTCACTGTGTCTTCCTCACTGTGACAGACTGTAACCTCAAGCTGTGAGCCAAAATGAACCTGCCACCCCTTCAGTTGCTTCCTGTCAGGTATTTGGTCACAACTACAAGACAAATAGGGGCAGTATGGCCTGGGATATGGAGGTGCACGTGGGTTTCACTTGCACTTGACTATTTCCAGGCTTCATTTTAGACGCAGCACTGACGTTTCCTGGGCCTCGTCACAGGACTGTAAAAGGATTGGGAAGAAGCCCACAGTTGCTCAGCACCTACTGCCCAGCCATGGCCGGGTGAGAGCACCTGACCCGCTGTATGTACTCCAAGTCACAGGGAGGGCATCAAACCAGCTCAATCTGGGGCAAGGGGGGATGGGTAGGGAGTGTGGGGGGGTGAGGAGGTGTGGATAGGGCCATATGTTCCAGCACCTGTCACAGAAGTCCCGGATGAGCACAGTGGCTGGGTACCTTCAATGGGCTGAATGAGCTTTAAGGGCCGACCAGTGCCGTGTGAGTCGACTGCCGTTTATCAAAAGGGGACCACGAATAGGAGCTAGGGATGAAGGGTTGATGGAACAGGATCTCTGCTCTCGGGAGCTCCCTGCAGGGGGGGAGGGGGAGCGAGAAACCTCAGGAAGAGCATGTTAAGGGAAGCTTTTTCTTTGCTAGCCACTTTGGTTTATCACCTGCCAGTCACCTGGGCTCTGCCACATTGTAGTCCCCAAATAAACACACAGGACGCTGTATTAATTATGAAGCTGTTGGCCTTGCTTGTTTCTTACTGGCTAGCTCTGACTTAAGTAATTACCCCATAATTGTTAATCTAAGTATGTTTCTTACCAGAGAATAGTTCCAGGCTTCCTACCCCCATGGCGTTACATGTTGACTCTCTTGTGTTTCTCCTTCCCAGAATCCTCCTGGACTCCTAGTCCCACCCATCTAGATTCCTATTGGCCAACAGTGCTTTATTAACAAATGTACAGGACTTCCCCCATCAAGAGCAGGCATGCAGTAGAGAAGTTTCAGTGGAGCCTTGACAGCAGGTCCAGGGAGAGGGGAGGAGAGTACCCACTGTCCCTACCATGTCACAGGGGTAGGAGACAAGTTCTAAGCTGCCATCTGCGGCAATCTGAGAGGTTTGGTTTGGCTTGTTTTTCACCCCTGAGACCTCTCTTAGGTAAAGCTGTTTTGTTTTGGGGGTTTTTGTTGTTTTCGTTTCAGAAAAGATTTCAGGAAGAGCCAGTACCAAGCCGAATTCACATTTGTTAGGGATTAGTAGAGGGTTAGCAAGGTGGAGAGGGTCTCAGGAGAAGGATGGGATGCATTCAAGCATGGGTGTGGCTTCTCAGGAGAGAATGACGTGTCCTAACCATAGCCATATGCATTATTTTGGTGACTTCTGTAACCACATTTCAAAGGGTTACTGAGGAGCTTAAATGAGATCATAGGGTGGTTCCTGATGTGCCCTGGACAGGCTCTCAGCTGATAAGTACAGCCCTAAGTCACAAGGGGAGCTAAGATGTTTTTATTGTCAACAGTTTAGTCTTATTTGCAAGATTCCCAGAAAGCTTCCTGTTTGCAGCTGGGAAGAAAGGACATATGTGCTTAGGCCCTGAGCATGGTTCATTGCTACTTTAACATTTTTATTTGAAATAGCTCAACATAAAAGGAGTATTGTCTCCATGTTGGCAGTCTTCACAGAAAATGTGAATTGTGCTGGAATTCTTGACTCTCAGATTTGGGCCAGAGTCTGGGAGTGGGGAGGTTCCCTTCCCTTCCCATGTCCCATGAGTCTTTCTACCCTGCCTCATTCTTAGGACAGGAAGGAGAAGAAGTCTAAAGACAGAATGAGGGAGCAGACAGGCCACTGGATGAAGTCAGGTTTGGGCGCGGGGGTCACAGTGTCTTGGGTCTTGGTGGCATCACTATAGAGTGCCTGGGATGCTCTGTTGTTATGCGATCCATCTAGTGAAGTGAGCTTTGTCCTGCTTTGCAACTTGTTCACATATCATTCGTGCTTGTATTGGAACTCTCAGGGTCAGGGGCTTAGACTGGTGTGAAGACCATGGGTATCTGATCACAGATCAGGGTAATACCCATGGGCAGACCTGTGCCCCACTGAAGTGTGGAAGTTGGTAGTAGTGACTCAGGAGAGACCAGAAGAGGCCCAGAAAAGCTTCCTGTTGGCCAGAAAGATGAGTGTGGGAAGGCAAAGGTATTCCAGGCGGAGGCCAGAGCTGCAGCATGGGTACCCAGGAAACCATGGAGCAGGGTGAGGTGGAGAGTGTAAACAGGGATTGGGTAGCCTGCCCAACTCTGTGTGGGGGAATAGGTCTGAACTCGGGAGCATTGAGAGGACCATCTCCTGGAATGGTACCAGAGCCACAAGGGCCCTGGTTCTAAACCAGAGGGGCTTGAGGCCTTTAATGGGACCCATCCTAGCTACATGGAACATGGAGGGCAGGTCAGGGCCAAGGGATTAGTTCAAAAGCTGCTATGGAGTCCAGAAGGAGATCTGAGGTAGGTCAAGACTTGAGGGGAGCATATAATTGGCCCAGGTCTGACCTAGGGTCTGGAGCAACGCTCGGAATTCTCATTTGGTTTCTGCCGGATAAAGAACATCACTGCTTGAGGCAGTGGTCACAGTTGTTTTGTTCCAGCCAGGGTCTCCCTATGTAGCTCTGGCTGTCCTAGAACTCACTATGTAGCAGAGGCTGGCCTCGAACTCAGAAAGACCTGCCTTTGCCTTTGTGCTGGGATTAAAGGTGTGGGCCACCACTCCAGGCCTCGTAGTCACAGGTCTAAGAACCTAATATGAAGAACATCCTTCAGGTTGGGCTGGATGTTAGGTGGCCTTCCAGTCACCCTCAAGAGTGATCCCTCTCATCTGCCATCTACCAGGCTTCCAGCTAGTGGGACACTAATTCTCCACCAGGTCCTCGTTCAGCCAACTTTTCAGACTAGACTTTCTGTCTATCCCCGGCCCTTGCCCTCAGCCGGGGGTCAGGTCGCTGAGGAACAGCCAAGTCAGCTCCACTCCGGGTCAGGGGGCAAGAGCAGACAAGCGCATACACTCATAAAGGACAGACAAGCCTCTGCAACAGCTACACTTTATTTGGTGTTTTCCACATGTGCAAAAGTCTCCCAGGAAGCTGGGCCCCACAATGTGTAAAAAAGACCCCCCTCAATAGGGAAGAGCTGTGCAACCATAAAAAAAAATAAGAGAAATCAGTCCCCCAGGAAGCCTGGCTTGGGCAGAGCATGTCACTTGGGGCCAGTCCACATGCCATGTGCGGCTTGTTCTGGTGCTTTCCTTCTGGTGGTTCCTTTCCAAATCCCTCACTTTAGGGTTGTGGCCACCAGAGGTGTCAATAGAGTCCTCAGGCACAGCAGTTGGTGAGGGTGACTTCTCCCACACGCAGATACCCCACCTCAGTGCTTGCCCACTGCCCCACTATGATCCTCGGGGCTTCCCCAGACCCCCAACCCCTGCCCAACCCCATATATCACAGTCTCCGCCCCTGACTTGTCTGCCCTCGGGCCACGTGTGAGGGACACTGATCCCAGACAGGAGAGAGGCCCTCCACCCCTCAAGTGCACAGTGGGGTGGGGTGTGGTGCCCCTCACTTCACACCTGAGGCAGGTGTTTTAGTGTCTGGGTCTGTGAGTGTGCATACGGGTGTGGCACGTTCGCGTGGGTGTGAGTTTGGCAGGAAGTGGGGGCCAGGGCTGGGGGAGGCACTTCCGGGATTCAGGGCACATTGACCTTGAAGGGGCTCCCAGGGACACTCTCGTCACCCCATTTGACAATGAGGATGTAGTCTCCTTTTTCCTTGACAGTGTAGGTGACGTTGTATACCCGGTTCCCCATGTGCTTCACGTACACCTCTTCACAGGGCGTCTTGGGCCCGTGCACACCCACCATCATCATGTTGGTGCCTGGAGAGGGAGGCAGGGAGGAGTGACTCACACCAGGGCCACAAGCAGCCCACCCCCGCTCCCTGGACAGCTTCCTGCTCCTCCCTCCCCTCTGCCCCTGTCTTGGCTGGGACATGCCTGCTTTGCTGCAGTCCACGGTGAATGAGTTCTTCTGACCCACAAAGGCCTGGGACAGACCAGGCCCCCTTGTCACCACTTTGCTGGCATCCGAGGAGAACTTGGGGATAGAGCTGTAGCTGGCGCCGCGGCTCGAGGAGGACTTGGTCACAGTCTCCACCAGAACTGTGGATGTTTCATGAAGGCTGTGGCCTCCAGACAACCTGGGACCTGAAGGGCGGAGGAGGTGGCCAAGGGCCCAGTCAGAAGGACTTCCCGTCCTTTCCTAGGACACTGACAACCTTCTGGGACAGGCCTTGGGTGATGCAGAATGCACCAGGCCCCCTCCTGTCCTCAGCTGTAGCTTTTGAAGAATCTAACCTACTCCAAACAAGCAATTCCCAGTGCACCAATCCCTGCTTATCCCTGGGCCTGAGCCACCTCTGGCTCCACCCCTCACCCTACAGAACAAAGCAGAGCTCTAGCTTAGAAGCCCAGTGCTTGCCTGATATGCACATGGCTCTGGGTTTAACCCCAGCATTGAAAAGAGAGAGAGTTGCATTTAAAAGATAATTACACACAACTCTACAGACTGGAATGCTGCCTCATCAGGCCTACCTCCTTCATGGTTACTTGACCACAACTGAGGGCAGACCACAATCAAATGTGAAGGGTTACTGGACCACCCAGGCTGGGCTGGGCTGTATGAACTTCTCCACCCAGGATACTCACCTGTGACCTTTGCTTTGAAGGGGCTGCCCACGATGTGCTGAGGGCCACCATACTTGATGGCAATGAGGTAGTTACCGGGGGCCATGGGAGTGTAAGTGACGACATGGCCCTCAGGACACTCCCGGCAGTCCAGCTGCACCTTAGAAGGGCCGTCAATGGTGACAGACAAGGCCCCTGAGCCTGCATTCTGGGTGTTGACAATGAACTCTGAAGACACACCTGGCGGGCAGAGGGATCGAGGTTGAAGGCAAAGAACGCAGCCCAGAGCGGGGCCCTGGGTTCCCTGGGTAGCACTGCAAGTTGGTACCGACGAGCCCCTGACCTATCAAGACTGACAGCGCCCCCAAATCTACCCCGTTCCCCCTCTAGCTCTGCACACTCACCAGTAGTGCCTCCCTCAAGCCCAGGCCCATAGGCTGACACCAAGCCCGGGTCCCCAGCTTGGCTCTGCTCTCCAACTCGAATCTTGAAGGGGCTTCCAGGAATGTGGGCACCATTGAACTTGACATCGATTGAGTGGACGCCATTCTCATGGGGGATGAAGCGGATGGTATGCTTATCTGTGAGACACAAGGTGGTGAGTGGGCGTCCATCTTTCTCCACTCCTTCCCCAGAGACCTCAGCCCCGCAGGAGATGGCAGGGCAGCTCACCGCTGTCTATCTCGGAGACATAGCATTCCTCCACGGCTCCCGAGGGTGTGTGCACCCTAGCATCGATCACGCCACGTGCCCCATTAAGCTGCACCGCGAAAGATGCCGGCTGGTTCACCTTGAGCCCCGTCTCCTGCAGAGGCCACAGAGCAAGCATATTCAGAGTCCTGGGAAGCTTCTGGCGGTCTCCTCTGCAGTTCAACGCTGTTCTCGCTCTACGGCCAGCCCAATGCGCCCACCTCTCCAGCCTGGCCCCAGCCTGCCAGCCCAGATTGCAGGGAAGGGCTGAGAAGGCAAAGGCTGACCTGCCCTCCAACACATCCTCCTGCAGTGAGGCAGGCACCACGCTGGGTACCACAGGGAGTGATGGATCCCTGTCCCGGCTGATGAAGCAGAGCCCAGACACTGAGTGAGCAATGCAGGTCTGTTAGCAGGGTTTGAAAGGGTTGTGCGAGCTGCAGGCACGTAAGAGTTTAGACATGGCAGGCTGAGTATAGACTACCCCAAGAACACTTTTTGAAGGGGGTGACCAAGGGGGAGAATGGAGAGAATGCAAGCAGGGCTCGGGGCAGGGGGGTGGAAGCCTGGGGTAGAGTGGAGGGGTTCACTATTGATAAGACTGCACTGTGGGGTAGCTAAAAGGATGTGGGACAAGGCCCTCCTCTCCTTGTCCTTACACAATGGCTCTGTGACGACGGTGTGCCCATTTGCCAGTGTGGCTTGCTGAGAGCCTGCATACTACACATTCCCACATGGCAGAAGGAAAGGAGACCTTTCTAGATGTCGCACCAAGAAAGAGGACATCTGGTCCCAGCAGCCAGGAGAGGTGCGGCCCAGACCCTGTGGCTACATGTGCCTGCTTAGGAGTCCTTTGCAAACTAGCTTATGCCTGGTTTGATTTTATGTACTTATTCTCATGAAGTCAGTTGCAAACATTCTGAAGAAAGTAGAGCAACTGCGGTGACAAGAAACATCAGCTCTCAGGAAGCACAGGCTTGTAGAAAGCACAAGCAAGGTATAGAGCCACAGTAGAAGCGTTCACTAGGATGCCGACATGCTCCCCCAAGGGCCCTGACCCGTGCTGTATACAGCTCACCTGTCAAGGTCACTGCTAAGTGGCTGGCCATATGGGCCTGCCCTTCTAGACCCTGCCTATCTCTCGGGTTCCCCCCTCCCCCGGCACACACCTGGAGGCTGGTGACTGTGAGGCGGCGAGCATCGTCGGAGAGGGAAGCCACAGGTACCACAAAGGGGCTGTCGGGGATGTGCTCATCGTTGAACTTGATAGAGACTTCATAGTCACCTGGGGAAGGAGACCAGTCAGCACATTTCCCAGGATACGGGCAGAAGGGGCACACCACGCCCAGCCCAGTCTCGCCCCAGGGCAAACTCATCGGATTAGGGCTCAGCTCAGTGGGTGAAGGGATTGGGGAGGAAGGGGGGTAGAGACTGATGGGGGGAAGTCCCACAGCTCCAGGCATCTTTGGTCTGGTCAGCAAGTAGAAACCCAGGATACATAAGGGCAGCTGGAGCAGCCCACTCTCCACCCGACTGGGAACATCTACCTGGCTCCTGGACCACATAGGAGACGCCACAGGAACCATCTTTGCGGTCTTCAAATGCAATCTCTGCCTTGCTGGGACCTTCCACAGCAATAGACAGGCCCCCAGCGCCAGCTTCTCGGGTCCAGATGCTGAACTCAGCTGCATTGGGGCAAAGGGTAAGGACGGCGGGTGTTGAGAACTGTTGCCCCTGAGAACCGGAGCCCCGGCTCCCCCGCCCCCGTGGGGGGGTCTCCCCTTACCTGGCACACCAGCCACACCTCGCTCCAGGCCTGTGCCTCCAGCCCGCACCTTGTGGGCCCCGCCTTCACCCAGTGGGCCCACAGTGAACTGAAAAGGGCTTCCAGGCACGTGCTGGCCGCGGTACTTGACCGCGACTGTGTGAGGACCCATCTCTTGGGGCACAAAGCGTACACTGTAGGCGCTGTCCTCGCCCTCAACGATCTCTGCAGCTTCCATCTTGCCAGATGGGCTGGTCACCTGGGCTGTCATGTCCTGAGAGCTGGCCTCACCTGAAGGATTGGAGTGATGTCAGGCGAACAAGAGGCCGTATCCGGTTTCCATGGTCCCCTCCCTCCTCAGTGAACTCCCTTCTCCGCTCAGACCTGTCCTGGCCAACTGGGCTAAGGGGGCAGGGATGGGGCCATTCTGCCTCACAAAACGGGAGGCCCCAGTCTCCCCGTGAGGACCCCAGTTCCCAGTGTTCTCTGCTCACCTTCCTGCTGCCTGGTGATGCTGCCGAAGGAGCCTAGGCGTTCCCGGCCCAGGAAGTCACCGAAAACAGCAGGGAAGGGGTCTCCGCCAACCTGGGTGGACTCTTCCACCCGGACTTCCCGCTTGGTTTCCCCACCCCGAGTCTTGCTGATCTCTGTCCGCTCTGTGCGGGTGTACGTGTGGCTGCTGCGCGTGAAGGTGCGGGTCAGGCGCTCCTGGGCGGACACCATCTGAAACCAGTTTCCTGTAGACAGCCAGGAGGCAGGAGGTGAGGAGAGGGGAAGCAGGACAGAGGCCCCAGGCTACAAGTGCACCCCACGGCCGCCCCGCCCCTCCCCGGCTCCCCCCTCTCTTTGCAGAGCCTACCTGGGATCTTGAGGTTGAGGTCGCAGGTGCTGCCAATGGTGGCGATGGAAGGGGCCTGTCGGCGCCTGGTGATGCTTTCCTTCATGCGTCCCTCGCCAGTCACCTTCACGGTGAAGGGGCTTCCTGCAAGGGAGCAAAGGAGAATGAGGTTCATGGGTCACCTGCCCGTGGGTCACCAGGTTTGTCCCCCCAAGCCCCAGCCCAGAGCCTCACCAGGCACGTGTTTGTCAGCAAACTTGATGTTGATGATGTAGGTCCCGGGCTCGGTTGGGCAGTAGGTAACTTTGCACGTGCCATCTTCCATATCCTCACAGTTAATGTCCACCTTGCTAGGGCCTTCGATGCTCAGCCCCAGGCCTCCGTATCCTGAGGGAAGGAAAGCCAGGAGAACGTCTCCCCTGAGCCTGTGGCACCTACGCCCGCATTGCTCTTCCGACCCACACTGTAGACTCTGCCCAGTGGCCACTAGGGAGAATGGCCAGGAGAGGTGGAGAAGCAAGCCGGGGTTTGTCATCACGGCCCAATGTAGAGGAGTTCTGGAAAATTCCATACTCTCAGATTTCGGGGAGGGATAGCTGAACATTCTCTTGACTGTGACAGAGTTGACTGGGAACAGTCACTTTCCCCCAGAGGGCTCCAGGCTCAACCCCGACAGGCCCAAGAAGGTCGGGGGAGGAGACTGTGTCAGAGGGGCAGGAAAGAGGGACGAGAACCCGTGGGGTACGACTGCATGGGGGGACTCTGGGGCGAGAAGCACCTGCATTGCGAGTGTCCACGATGAACTCCGCCACCTGGAAGGTGTGCCCCTCAGAAAGACCCTTGCCCCAGACGCGAACTTTGCTGGCATCGCCGATCTCTGAAGGCCCCACCAAAATCTTGAAGGGGCTGTTGGTGACATGCTTGCCACTCTTGCGGACGCTCACCACATGCTCACCGACCTCCTTGGGGGTAAAGGAGATCCCTGCGGAGAGGGGACATTCAGCAGAGCATCCCTGAGGCCTCCCCCATTCAAGCACCCCCATGAATCGCCGTGCTCACCAATGTGTCTGTTGGGCAGGCGCTTTAGCAGGCATGGCTCCTCGTTGCCTGAAGGGGCACGGATGCTGGCTGTCAGCTGGCTGAGGTCACTCTCAGTGATCTTCAGTGACACATCCGTGGAGGTGCCCACATTAAGTTGGGATGTTCTCATTGAGTCGTCACCTAGGAAGGAGTTGGGGTGGGTCAGGCTGTTAGCTCCAGACAGACTCCAGCATCCATGGTCTGCATTCACCCTAACAACCTCAGAGGGACCCAACATCCCTGTTCTCGTGCCTGTCTCGATCCAGGAAGGGCTAAGCCCCTCCTTGAGCCTTTTCATATTTAATCCTGAGTCACATGGAACAAGACACGGGACTAGACTCTCTGTCCGGCTCTGCCACACTGCTAAGTTGTCTCTGGGCTTTCTCGAGATGCCAAAGGAGTGTCAATACCCCACCTTTTCAAGAGGAACTTTAATTGATTTAATTTGAAATGATTTCTTCTTTCAAGACAGGGTTTCTCTGTGTAACAATCCTGGCTGTCCTGGAACTCGCCCTGTAGACCAGGCTGGCCTCAAACTCACAGAGATCCACCTGCCTCCGCCTCCCGAGTGCTGGGATCAAAGGTGTGCGCCACCAGCGCCCGGCTTGTTTTGTTTTTGTTTTTTGAGTCAGGGTCTTTTTATGTAGTTTTGGCTGTCCTGGAGCTCACTGTGTAGACTAGGCTGGTGATCATGTCTTTTAAAGCATGGGATGGTGGGATGTTTCTTGCCGGTTATGGAGAACAGCATCCTTACATTTATCTCAAGATGCACCCCTCCTCCCCAGCAGTCTGTCCAAGAGTGAGCTGCCTTGAGCGTGTGCACGGCAGGTTCACTCCACCCGAACATGCAGCTCACCTGTGATCTTGGCCGTGAAGGGGCTCCCCGGAATGTGCTTGTCGTCAAAGCGTACAATGATGCTGTAGTCTCCGGGTGCTGTGGGTAGGTAGGACACAGTGCATGTGCCATCCTTGTTGTCCTTGCAGGTGATCTCTGCCTTAGATGGACCCTCCACAGCCAGTGACAGACCCCCTGTAGACGAAAAGGGGCCGAGATCAGCGGGTCTGTCCTTGCGCCTGAACCCGGCCAGTCCCCTCACCTCCTCTGCCAGCTTTCCTCACCTTCCCCAGCATCCTTGGTGACAATCGTAAAGGTGGCAGGCTTGTTGACCATGCCGTGGCTCAGACCTGGCCCATAGGCACTGACATGGCGGCTGTTGATGGCATCCACGTAGAACTGTAGAGGACTCCCTGGGCAGTGACAGACAGAGCTGGGTCAGTGTAAGGGCAGGGGCTTCCTGTACCCACACTGGCCGCCAGCGTCTTCAACAGCCTTGGCTGCTGAGCCCTGTGTCTCTGCCATACGGACTTGACTCTTAGAAGCCACAGAACCTCCCTCTGTGCCTGGGCATGGGGTGGTGGGATGTTTCTTGCTGGTTATGGAGAGCAGCACCCTTACATTTATCTCAAGATGCACCCCTCCTCCCCAGTAGTCTCTTAAATACTTATTTAAAGGAGAAAGGCAGGACCCACATGGCGTCGGTTTCTCTTGCCATGGCCTCACCCTGCCCCCAACTCACCAGGGATATGGTTGCCATCATACTTGATTCCCATCTGGTGCAGGCCTTTCTCTGTCGGTGCATACCTCACTGTGATGGTACCGTCTTTGTTGTCGGTGATGTTGGGACGTGCTGTCTTACCAGAAGGCATCCGCACCTCCCCTGAAGGGCAGACACACATGTGGGACCCTGGTCTGTTCTTGTGGGACCCTGCTTCCACCAGAGGTCAGACACTGGGAAGCAATGTCTTCGGGAACAGAAGGATGATCCTGAACTAGGAGACAGAGGGCTTGAACCTGACTTCTAGTCTACCCAACTGTGGGACCCAGACTAATTGGTCTTCTCGCCCTGGGCGCCAGTGCTCATCCCTACACGTGATACACTTGATCTTAGATGAAAGGCCAACAAGCACCCTCAGTTCCCCTCAGAGCCAGCCCCATGTGTGCAGGACCCAGTACCTGTGAGCTCCCCTTTCTGCACCGTGAAGGGGATGACCAGGTTAAAGGGCCTCAGCATGGACTCCAACGGCTCCACGGGCACCACGGGCTCCTCTGTGGCCTGCAGCAGGCGAGAAGAAAGAGCATTGGCGGGGAAGGCTTGGGAGCGTGGCCTGCCTCGTGACTGAAGTCCGAGAGAACGAGGAAAGAACAAGAAGGTTAACGAGGAGACCCGAGCGACAGAAGGAGTGCCAGCTGCAAGAGATGGGTGCCACGCCCAGCTTTGGACTCCCTCTGCCCGTCCTAATGCCTGCCTGTTCCCCAAGAGGCCCAGCCAACGCTGCAGAGGAGTAGAAGGAAGGAAGGAAGGAGGGAAGTGGGGGCCAGGAGGGCGGTGAGGCCTGCCACGGGAAGCTCCAGTACCCAGTGTGTGGGGCAGGTGCCAGGCCGAAGAGGGACATAGGGCTGGTGCCGCTGCAGCACTTCTGTAGGCTCCTCCACGCGAGGCAGGGGGTCACACGCCTGGGAAGCAAGGCGCAGGGTATGTGGTGGGTGGGACCCGGAGCCCAGAGTTGGCTCAGAATGACCCAGGACCGAAGTCGGGGGGGGAGGACAGGGGGGCAGCTCAGGTGTTCCATCCTTGTCCTGCAGGGCCACCTCTGTGGAAACAGAGGAGCCAGGGACAGAGAAGCGTCAGAGAGGAACAGTGAGCTCCTCCTGAGAGGGGTGACACCGCCCTGCCACCTCCTTACACTTGGGCCGGCTGCGAAGAGTACTCTGGCTCCAGGATCCATTCATCGAGCATGGGAACAAGCTCTCTGCTTCCTGGAGGACAGCTTCTAGGATCCCTTGCAGCTACTAGGAGGCACACTCTGCGCTCCCCACCCCTGTCCTCCAGACCCACCACGGCCATGAACTCACCAGCACATGGAAGGGGCTGTTGGGGATGTGTTCACCCCCGAAGCGGATGGTGATGACGTATTTGCCCGGTTCAGGCGCCGTGTAGTAGATATCGAAGGTACCATCATGGTTCTCAACCACGTCCACGTCGAGCTCTGCCCCGTCTGGCGTGGACACCGTGCAGGTCACCTTGCCCTTGCCTGCTGCCTTGGCATCCACTGTGATCACAGTCTCCTCTCCGATCTGGATTCGGGGACCCAGGCAGGCGCCTGCCACAGTGAAAAAGCCAGATCAGGGGCTGTGGAGGCCGTGCCTAGCCCTCTCTTCTCCAGCGGCTCCCACAGCCTCCAGCCCCTAGCAAAGGAAGAAAAACAAGGTTACTCACCCAATCCGTGGCCTCCAATGGACACTGGAAGTAGACAAGAAAGTTAGGTCATAAAGGTTCAAGATGAGCTGGTGGGGTGATGGGGCGGGAGGGGGAGCCGGGCTAGGGCAATGGGGACAGGCTCTTTTCCAGCGTTCCCAAGGGACTGGGCTGGGGATCTAACTGCACTGTAGGGAGGCTGGTTGGTAATAAGGGATGCAGAGTTGGTGCTCACCTGTGACAAGGCACTTGCTGGCATCCCCTGTAGGCAGGGCGTGAATGCGGAAGGGTGAGTAAGGGATCTCATCGCCGCCGTACTTGATGGTGATGGTGTATCGACCACTCATATCTGGCAGGTAGGACACAGTATATGTGCCGTCCCCATTGTCTCTGATGTTGGCCTTCTTGGGTTTACCCTCCGGATCCTAGGGGAGAAGAAGAGGTCAAGTCTGCCTTTGCCCACAGAGTCCAACTGGGAAGGGGCTGTGCCTGGACTCACCAGGATCTGGACAGTGAGCAGCCCCTCCCCCGCATCCCGAGCATCGATGGTGAACTCCACCGGTAGGCTGGCAGGGATGCCAGAAGCATTGAGGCCAGGTCCGCTGGCCCGCACCTTGCTGGCATCATGGGCTGGAAGCACTTTGATCTTGAAAGGGCTTGAAAAGCAAGGAGTAGACAGTCAGCAGGGGGTTGGAGCTCGGGACTGGGAGCCTTCCCACATATGGGCAGGAGGAATGACTGCAGGGGAGCGTGGAGGGGCTGGTTCCCAGGATCAGGTGACATCGTGAGTCTTAGAGAAGGTCTCTGAAGGACCCATGTATCACAGTCTGAGCACTCTTTTCTCCAAAGGAAGATGCTGTTATTTGTTTAAAGAGGTAAGTCCCTAGACTTTCTGTGGCTCTTTTCCTAGAGTTTGACTTGGCATCAAAGCTCCTGGGGTGAGATAATCTTCAGGTCAAAGAATCCTGGAGTGTAGCAATATAGGGCAGGCCCAAGAAGGAGGTTCAGACAAACAAGGGGGACACTGCCCAAGTCCTAGCCCTGAAGGTGTGACCCCAGACAAAGCTCTCCAGAGCTCAGCATGGCTTGCCCAAGGCTGGTCCTCACCTGCGAGGCACCTCCTGGTCAGCATACTTGACAGCGACTGTGTAGGGCCCATCAGTGGCAGGTGTGTAGTGGACAGTGTGGGTGCCGTCGCCATTGTCACGCACCTCCACAGGCTCAGCCACACCTGGACAAAGGCGGGGGTGGGGCGTCAACAGGGCTTCCCGGAACCTCACTCCACTTCGTTGCTTAGCCCAGGCATTCTGTTCCATACCTGTGGGGCCCAGCACGGCCACCTGCAGAGGGGCCCGGCCGGCTTGACTGCAGTCCACTGTGAAGGTCTGAGGTACTCGCGCCCTGACGCCCGTCCCCAGCCCTGGGCCTGAGCACTTCACCTTCCCGGGGTCCACCACATCCTTCACAGGAACTCGGAATGGGCTCCCTGGGAGGAGACGGTGATTAGCCTCTACCCACACTGCCTGGAAAAGTCTGTCTCCCTGTGCTGAGACTCCAAGGAGGAGGCAACCTCCCTGCTACGGAGAGGTTCATAGGGACCAACATGGAGCCAGTTTGGAACTTGCTGAGAAACAAAAAACAAGAGTAGGCAAAATTGACTACAGAATGAGGCTAGGCAGGCCTCACTTACTTGGGCTCAGTCCAGGAAGAAAACCCTCCTAAGCTGTTAAAATGTTAAAATTGAATATTTTAAAAACCACTTATGGGGGGCTGGAGAGGTGGCTCAGAGGTTAAGAGCATTGACTGCTCTTCCAGAGGTCCTGAGTTCAATTCCCAGCAACCACACGGTGGCTCACAGCCATCCATAATGAGATCTCGTGTACTCTTCTGGCATGCAGACATACATGGAGGCAGGCTGTTGTATTCATAATAAATAAATAAATCTTAAAAAAACCACTTATGGGAAAAAAAAAAGCCACACGCCTCTAATCCCAACACTCGGGAGGCACAGGCAGGTGGATCTCTGTGAGTTTGAGACCAGCCTGATCTACAATAGCTAGTTCCAGTTCCAGGACAGCCTCCAAAGGCACAGAGAAACCCTGCCTCGAAAAACCAAAAAAAATAAAAAAATAAAAAACCAACAATAACAACAACAAAAAAAACCGACTTATGTTTCTGACACTGTGGTTGAATAGGAAGAGGCTATGCAAAATCCAATAAGAAGAAAACAGTCTTGTTTGCACAGACCCGGTTCCTGCAATAATGGAAGACTTGGCACACCCAAGCAAGTGTCTGGCTACAGGACAGCAAATGCAGAGAGTGGACCTGTGACCTGCGTGACCAGGTCTGGTGCTGCCGGCCAGGGCCTCGGGAATGAACTGAAGGGCTACCACACCCACAACGCCTCCTACCCCGCTGCTGTCCCCCCTGTCTCCACAGCCGCCCTTCCCCCTAGTCTTCTTGTGAGCCTGCCCTCCTGCCCTCCTCGCCCACCTGGGATGGGCTGTCCCCCAAAGGTGATGTTGACGTCGTAGTCTCCAGGGGTGAAGGGGACGTACTCCACTGTGCAGCTGCCATCCTTGTTGTCCTTGCAGGACATCTTCGCTTCTGAGGGGCCCTCAATGGCTAGGCCAAGGCCTCCCGTGCCGGCACCCCTGTCAGGGAACACTCCTGTCAGCTGTTCTAGAGCCAGCGAAAGGGATGGGAGGGGCGGTGGACAGGGAGGAGTAGGGAGGCCAGGGCTGGAGGATGGACTGCATGGGCTGTGGGGATGCAGGGAGACTGACCCCTGGTCACCTCTGAGATAGGAAGTGGATGACGGCGCAAATAAATGGGACGGGCGGACAGCAGAGGCCAAGATGGACATGACTTTGGGTCAAGGTCAGGCAGGGAGAGGGATACCTGGTTTCCACGGTGAAGCGGTTGGCCTTGTTGACCAAGCCACCCTCCAGGCCTGGCCCAAAGGCTCGGACTCGGGTGGGATCGCAGCCCTCAGTCACACCCACTCGGAAGGGGCTCTTGGGCACGGCGACTTCGTCATAGAGCACCTCCACCAGATGCACGCCTGGAAGCCGGTCACAGTCAGTCAGTCAAAGAGAGCGAGCAGAGCCCTCATCCCCGCCCTCTGGAGCACACTGTGACCCTTCCCTCTCCTACAGACTCCTTACCCTCTTCATAGGCAGTGTACTGCACTCGGTAGGTGCCGTCCCCATTGTCCGTCACATAGGTGTCTGTCTTGGCGCCCGAGGGGTTGAGTACGCCAGCGGTCACGTGGTTGCCACCCGTGGCTGTCAGAGACCTCGCGTCCACAGTAAACTCAGTCGTCACCTCCCGAAGGACACCTAGATCCAGGGAGCCAGGCTCAGCCTTCACGCAGCCCCTTCCTCACCCCTCACTCCACAGCTGTTCTGTCAAGTAGCGCCTAGCCGCCTCTGCACCCGTGAGTCTCAGGCCTCTCCTCACGCCTTCGCTCCGCGTGCCCTGGTTAGTGCCCTGCCAAGCTGGGGACCCTGTCTTCCTCGCCTCTGCTCAGCTCGTTCCTAGGTGGGTCTGGCTCCCTTGTGAGCAGCCCACTCGTGCTATAACTCTCCCCCGGTTCTTGGCGCCTCCTAAGACACAGCTTGTTCTCAGCTTTGTTGGGTCTGAGAGGCCTCGAACTAACCAGTTGGAAGATCTTACCAGAAAAGTGCCCAGGGGCCGATGCCTTCGTGTCGCAAGGGCACAGACTAATCTGCATGCCCCGCTGGCCCCCTTGCGCCGTTTCTGGGAGCCCCTGAAACCTCCATCCGCTCACCCCGCAGCTCTCCTCCCTCCTTCCTGACCTAGCCCCGTGACTCGACACCGTGGTCCGCTCCTCTCTTACCATGTGGCTCCACACCCGGCCCGGAGACCTTGATGCCACTGGTATCAACTGCAGGCTGCACGTGGACACGGGTGGGGAACTTGGGTATGGGGTGGCCGCCATACTTGATGGTGATGGTGTAGGTGCCGGGGAAGGCGGGGCTGTAGGTGATGTGGTAGGTGCCATCCGCGTTGTTGTGGATCAGCACCTCGGCTTTGACGCCGGCGTCTGACAGGATCTCAATGGTGAGCTCAGCCTCACCTGCTTCCGAGCAGTCCACAGTGAAGGTGGCAGCCTCTCCGGCCTTGCCACGCTCCAGGCCTGGCCCACTGGCCCTCACCTTGCTTGGGTCGAACACAGGCTGGATGGTGGCCTTGAAGGGCGAGCCAGGGATGTGGGCTTCAGCAAACAGGATGTTGATGGTGTACTCGCCTGGCTCTGTGGGCAGATAGCTGACCGCACAGGACCCATCCCCATTGTCTTGGCACTCGATCTTGGCTTCGCAGGGGCCCTCAACGGTCAGCCCCAGGCCTCCCGTGCCAGCCCCTTTGGTATCAATGGAGAATGGTGCCGGGGTACCTACAAGTCCACCCTTGAGACCAGGGCCATAAGCGCAGACCTAGGAAGATGAACACACGCATCAGTCCCCTGAACTTGGCTTCTCCTAAGCTCCCAGACTGCGGAGCTGCGACCTAAGCAAGCACCTGGAGCCGTAGCAGCCAACTCCAGGAGAGGACACGGAGTCAGAGATGAAGTAACAGCGGGTCAGTTCTGTGGACCCCGTCTGATTCCAGGACCAGGCTCTGAACACACACGCTGTCTCTAAGACCGGTCCTACGTAAAGGATGGTCCTGGCTCTGGTTGTGCCTACTCTAGGCGCATGCATTCTTCTGGTCTCTGCCTGCAACACACCTATCTTTCCTAACGGTCCCCAGCTCCTGGATCCCACCAGCCCCTGTATGTTTACCTTGGAGGGGTCAGGGGGCAGGACACCTTCCACGGCAAAGGGGCTGCCAGGCACTGGGTGACCGTCATAGGTGATGTCCACTTTGTAAGGTCCCTCTTCAGGGGGCATGTAGCGTACGGCCTGGGCTTCTGCTCCGCCCCCAGGCTCCAGTTTGCAGGGGATAGGTCGTCGGGAGGGTGAGGTCATCCGCACATCTAGTTGACCCTGACCGCCAGCCCCTCTTGTATTCACGGAGAACGCCTGTTCCTGCCCGACAGCCACCTCTGCACGGAGGGCAAAGGACGCCATTAGCGGAGACCCCACCTCTCACCCAACACCCCGCAGTCCCAGGCTGGCTTTTACTTACTGCTGTTAAGTCCTTGAACTTTGACTTTGCTGAGGTCCAATGGGGGTGCTACATTAACCACAAAGGGGCTTTTGGGGACAGGGTCCCCACCGTAGGTCACTGTGACTGCCATGTTGCCCTATTGGGTACAAGAGAAAGTCAGAATGGAGCGGCTTAGAGACAACCTACTAACAGTTCCTTGGACTCTGCAGGCCATTTATCTAGAGCAAGAGCAGACAGGAGGCAAGGAATGGCCAAGGACCCGGGATGGGCTGAAGCTGAGAAGGTTCCACTCGGGTCCCATCCGCAGCATGGGGACGGCGTGAGGGAATGGGACACACCTGCTGGACAGCGGTGTACTTGACTGTGTATGAGTAATCATGGTTGTCAATAATTTCAAAGTCCCGCACGGCCTCGCCCTTGGCTGCCCCGGCGAAGTGCACACCCAGCTTGGCCTTGCCGGCTCCTTTGGTTAGCACGGTGAAGTGAGTTGGCTTTCCAACTTCCACACCTGGAAGCCCCCCCAAAGAGACGGTAGTGAGGGCCTGGAAACCAATCCAGCACAACCCCAACTCACGCGCGCCCCATCCTTGCCCAGACATCTACCTGTGCGGCTCAGCCCGGGGCCCTCAGCCTTGACCTTGCTAGCGTCATGGGATGGGTCCACCTTGATGTGGAAGGGACTGGCAGGGATCTCCTGGATGTGGAGAAGTCTCGATCAGGTTTCCCAGGGGACGGTAGTGAGCTAGATGCTGGTCAGGACACTCAAGGACCCGGGGAGGGTAAAGGCAACCTCTAAAGGCACCTCCTGTGTTGTCTGAGGCACGGTGCACACACACAAAGAGGACGCCACAGCCTGCCTCTGTGTGACGGTGCCTTGTGCCCTGGGGAACAACTCACTCCAGCCGCCTTCCCACACCTTTCACATGCAAGCCCACGGCTCCCAACAGTTGTACCTGGTTGGCGAACAGCACCATGATGGTGTAGTGGCCAGCCCCTGGGGGTGTATATTTGACAGTGAAGGTGTCATTGTCATTCTTGATGATGTCAAAGTCGATGTCAGCTTCCACGGGCCCCACCACACCAGGTGCACACTTGATGCCAATGCTTACGTCGCCTGAGAGGAGGGAGGGCGGGGTCCGTGAGGGAGACTGAAGAGCTTCTCCCATTGGAGTCTCCCCCGGCTCCGGTGGGTCGGAGCCCCGCCCACCTGGATCATGCCCCCACAGAGCCGCGTACCTTGTCCAGCTTCGCTGCAGTCCACTGTGAAGTAGGTGGGCTCATTGGCCTTCAGGCCTGTCTTCTCCACTCCGGGGCCATATACCTTTACCCGCTCAGGGTGGCTGCCCTCTCCCACACTCACCTGTGGGCAGGGGAGGAGTTCCATGCTCAGGGAGTAGGCCTTGCTCAAGGCTAACCTTTCCCCAGCAGATCTCCACCCCAGCCTCAGCTGGACCCGTCTCAGCCTCTTTACTGGGGGCTTGAGGCAGGAAAATGTGCAGAGGGTCCACGACAGCCAGTATCTGCCGCATGGGGGCCCAACTCCTCTAGGACTCCTGGTAGAGCGTGCGCAAGGGGCAGGGTTGGTAGACATACCCTGAAAGGGCTCTTGGGCACGTTGACACCACCCCAGGAGACGATGATGGTATGCTTAATGGGCTTGGTGGGTACGTAGGAGCAGCGGAAGGTACCGTCACCATTGGGGATCACCTTGACATCGATGGGGCAGCCATCTGCATCCTGTGGGCACCAGCCGGGCAATATTCAGAAGGGCAGAAGCAGCCACAGGGACTCTCGCTGCGCCCTCTGCTGGATCAGTCATTCTCTGCACCTTTTCTATTCAGTATTTACACACCCACTCCCAGGCCCAGCCTCTGATATCAGGCCACATGTTTTGGTGGCCTGTACCTAATCCAGGAGCCAAAAGACTTGGCATGAGGCCACCTATGTAGCCTGCTTCCTAGCTTATGTTTAGCATATGTGCTAGTCAGGGAGAGGATGGGCTAAGTCAATGTTCCTAAAATTGATTAACAGCTGTCTCCTTGGAGCCTCAAGACTTTTAGGGGTCAGTGGACACTAGTTTATGAAACTGACTTGAAGCTAATGTCATATTTGGTGAAACTGTCTTTCTACTGTAAATCATTGATTCAAAATGAGTTTGCTTCTAAGATTATTATCAGTAAGAAAATATGGTTTTAATTTTCCATAGACTGTGGCTACAGGAGACTCAATCCTGCCTTTCTGTGACGTTGCAGCCTCCCTTCTGGAGACCCCTGTCTGCGGCAGTGGGGCACACTAGAGACACTGAATGTCCCACCTGGGCATAGAGCTTCAGGTCTCCCTTGCCGGCGGCGCGGGCATCAATAGTGAACTCGGCCGGCTTGTCCACGATGCAGCCAGTGGGCTCCAGGCCAGGTCCAAAGGCTTTCACCTGCACAGGCCAAGAGAGACGGGCTGGGTTGGGGACAGGAGGAGGAGGACCAGTGCACCCAGGCCCAGCGCAGGCGGAGCGTGGGAGCCAGGACCCCACCTTGTCTGGGAAGCAGTCCGGTGGGGCTGGCTGAATGTGGGCGATGAAGGGCGAGTCTCGGATGTCCTCGTCATCGCAGATGACGTGCACGGCGTACTCCCCAGGCTCAGTGGGCCAGTACCGCACATCACAGGAGCCGTCGCCCTTGTCGTCACACTCTATCTTGGCTTGTGAGGGCCCCTCAATGGAGAAGCCTGGGGAGAGGGAGAGGGTCGGGGCCTCTCAGACAGGCCCCGCCTCCTTCTGCCTCCACCCAAGCTGCCTCTCTCTCCCCGCCCACACTTATCCCAACACCTCCAGCATCTTCCCCCTTCCCCAACCCCTCAGCGTGAGTCCTTTATGTTCTGACGCCTCCTCTGCCACCAGTCACTCACCCAGCGTGCCCACTTCCGTGCCAATGGCTTCCACCACGAAGTCAGCCGACTTGCCCACCTGGCCGGTCTCCAAACCAGGACCCCACGCCCGCACTTTCTGGGCTCCGGCCTCTGGGCTCACCTGGACCTCAAAGGGACTGGGGAAAGGAAAGGCATGACATCGAGAGGGCCCACCTCTCTCCTTCCTTCAATCCTGCCGGGGGCTACTTCCTCTCCATGCGGCCAGTGACACAGACAGGAAGACCCAGACAGGGAGGCGACGGTGCGCTTACCTGCGGGGGATGGCATAGCCACCCCATGTGATGGTCACCACATACTTCCCAGGGACCACAGGGTAGTACTCGCACTCGAACACGCCGTCCCCAGCCTCCCGAACTTTCACGGGCTCCTCTGTGCCCTCTGAGGAGGAAGGGTCAGGGAGTACAGGTCAAAAGTCTGGGGTTTTTCATCCCCTCCAGGAGTCCTTGGGACTTGGGCCTATCTAAGGGAGGTGCTATTAGTGGGCAGAGATGAAAATGCTATTGGGATCACGTGTCACCCCTGAGCACACCAGCCCTGTGTAGCACCCACGGTGGGGGAAAGTAGCTCCGGTTCTCAGACTGGGAAACCAGCCGAGGACACCCACAGTGCCTCTGGTCACTATGTCTCTGGAGTCTCGGGAGGGGACTGTGTGCTGGCTGCCACTGGTGGTCAGAACCCCTGTCCAGTCCCCCATGCCCGGGCTGCGGCACTCACTTGGGCCCTTGACGGTAACCTTGAGTTCCCCGCTGCCAGCACCCTTGGTGAACACCTTGAAGTCAGCCACCTCTTTCACACGCACACCTTTGGGCTGCAGGCCTCGCCCAGAGGCGCGGCAGGCATTGGGGTTACAGGCTGGGGGAGAAAGAAACAGAAGGATTGGGTGATGGAGGGCCCCGAGAAAGCCCAGTCTCCTGCCACTGACTGCCTCGCTGTGCATGAATCTCCTGACCCCTCCCAGGAACTGGACATGGCTTCATGCAAGCCTGCCCCATGCCTTCTGCGTCCATCCGCCGCAGAACTGGGGCTTCTGGGAGCAATGCCGGGCGCTGGGCAGAGATCTGGTGCGGGCTCAAGTAGGGGACTTTTCTCAGAGTCACCTCAGACAAAGACACAGCAGAGTCTGCACTGAGTAGACTGAGAGACAAGGAAGGCCCTTCACCCACACCTAAGGCCTTCCACCTGGAGCCCCACGCCTTCCCAGGACCGCCATAGCTGCCTCACAAACTGTGGCATGCCACAGAACATCCAGCACCACCAAGGAACAAGAGCGTTTCCATGTGACATTAGCTCATAGGCAATGCATGGAAAGCAGCCGGCTACAACACGGAGCTCATGAGGCCCCACAAAACTGACAGCCACACAATCTAGGCCTGCCAGAGAACACAGGCAATGGCATGGAACTGCAGCCTTGCACCGAATGCCACAGGATGGGAGCAATCCACACATGTGGGCCTGCCGCGAGCACAGGTGAGGCCGGTCAGCTAGGACCACGCCTGCCACACCTCCACTGCCGCGTACTAACGTGGCGCCCCTCTCTTGGTGGGCACAGAGGGGGTGGGCCGCAGTGGGGGCGCTGAGTACAGGGAAAGAAGCAGGCGGGGGTAGGTTCACCAACTGAGGGCCTCGCACACGGGTGAGAGCACGCCATGCGTGCTCTGTCAGTGCGGGCCGTCCTCCTCTCCCTCCTCTGTGCGGCCCATGTTCCAGTCTCTTTCCATGTGGTCCCTGGCCCTCCTCTTACCCAAACCAGCTTCCTTGAGGTGGAGTGACGAGAAATCCCTCAGAGCCCCTCCTAGCCGCACCTGTCTGTCTCGAGCCCAGCAGCTGTCCACCCCCACCTCCACCCCCCACCTCCACCCCCCACCTCCACCCCTGCGGATGGAGTGCCGCGTTTCCCATCGGCCCTCGGGACCCAAGTCTGGTGGCAAGCTTTCTGCGATGGCTTTGGTGAGGTGAGGCACCCTTACCTTCCGCCACATGAACAGGGAAAGGGCTCCGGGTGATGGGGGCGTCAGCAAAGGCCACGTGCACTGTGTGTGGCCCCTCCATCACAGGTCTGTACGTGCAGCGGAACGTGTTGTCACCCGTGTCCTCCAGGGCCACCTCTACCGTATCCCGCCGGCCCTGTGGGTCCACGATCACCACAGCAACATCACCAGTGCCAGCCCCTGCAAAGGACAGGCCAGGCGGTCAGTGCCCACCCTGGACACACACATCAGACCGGGCTCCCTCGTCCTGAAACTACCCCACCACCACCTAAGGCCTCGGTCTCGGTCATTTCAGCCTCACACCCACGCTCTGCGAGAGGCTGCCTCAACCCACCACGGCTAGCCCTTCCTTACCTGCAGTATAGATGTCAAAGTAGGTGGGTTTGTTGGCCACGTTACCCACAGGTTCCAGGCCGGGGCCACGGGCTGATACTTTGTTGGCATCCCCGAGAGCCATGCCCACGTTCACCTCAAATGGACTACGCTCGATGTTCTGGCCGGCAAAGAGCACAGTCACCTGGGGTGAGGGAGGTCAAAGGTTAGCTTAGGGGACACCAGTTCTGAGGGAGTGGAGAGGAACACTTCGGGTGAGAGGTAGTCGACGGCAGCGGGGTGTGGGCTGAGGGCAACAGCAGGAGGGCAGGAGGGCAGGAGGCCCCCGGGGAGGTACCTTGTGTAGCCCAGCAACCTTGGGCACATAGGAGACGGCATACGTGCGGTCCTTGTCATTGTTGGGAACCACTTTGGCCTATCGGGAAGGAAAACGATCGAAAGTCACACAGTTGTAACCAATGCCCGGACTCCTCCGTCCCAAGCAGCCCTGGTTCCCATCCCGTCATTCCCCACACTCCGCTATACCTCCTCCGTGTGCCCCTCGGGGTCCTCGATGTAGACCAGCACCTCGCCCACGCCAGCATCCACTGTCTGCACGGTGAAGTGGGCTGGCTGCAGCACAGTGTTACCCTGGGGTTCGATGCCTGCAGGCAGAGCAGAGCCCAGGTCACTCCAAGATCCCACACCTGCCCGGATGCCTGGATCCCACTCCTGCCCGGACGCCTCGGGAAGGCTGTTAGGAAGCGCGTGACACATACCAGGCCCGTAGGCAATGGCTTTCTTGGGGTTCAGCTGCTTAGAGCGAACAGGGGCGCCAGGTTTGAGCTTGGCCTTAGGAAACTGGGACAGGTAGGTCATCACAGAGTGCTCGTCCACGTTGGGGTCCACGATCTCTTCAGGGGCAATCACCTGCCATAGAGGAAATGGTGGTTGCACAGCGCTCTCCCAGTTCCCCAGCTGCTCCCTGGCCAGGGGTCCTTACAGCCCTTCCCTTCTCCGTGACCCCTCCCACCCTACGCCCCACCCTACCCATCTGCCAGTGTACCTGGGGCACCCCGAGCCAGTCATCTGCCTGCTGCATGGCCTCTCTGGCATTCTGCACAGGCTGGTTGGGGTCCCAGGCTTCCCAGTCAGGGCACAGACCTAGAGAGACGGTGCAAGAACATAATGGAGTGGACCACAGCGCTGTCACAGAGTGCTCGCTCGGCCAATAATCCCAGAGCCCACAGCTTCGCATCCTTCCCAGCCAGGTTCCGTTATCCCCTCATGTTTCAGCCCGTCACCATGTCAAGGCATAGCAGTCCTTGCCGGCACCAACAATGCGTCCTTTCTCTCCTCGGATGATGTAGCCTGGCACCAGCCCTGCCAGGCAGCCTCCTGCCGAGTCCAAGGCCCAGCAAGAGACCTTGAGCACCAAACCCCAACAAAGGACCCCTGGACTTGGTGCCAGCTGCCTGAGGGGGGGACAGGAGGTGAGAGCCCTGTCCCCCACAACTCCCAAGCTGTATCTTCTCACAGTTCCCGAAGTCTTCACACTAGCCTTAGGGATAAGGATAACTCTCTCCCTTCTTAACTGCCTTTGGGGAAACTGAGGCATTAAAGCAGCTACTGGAAGACAGATTCCTCAGTTTGGACATCAGGAGCCCAGCCTCCCAGCAGGTAGAATGCTGATGGAGTCCCAGATCACCCTGTGAAGGGCTGGTTGTAGGGTCAGGGGGGCAGCTTGGTCCAAGACAAAGACGGAGGGCTTGATAGCACTGGTGGGGAAGGGGCCGCTAGCAGCTGGGATCCGTGACTGGCTGGAACAGCTGAGCTCACTGCTGGCAGCCACACCAGCTTTGGGCAATGGCTCAGCAGCTGGGAATGCTTCCCAGGCTGCATGCCCCCGCCTCCCACCCCTGCTCCCCAGCTGACCCCAGGGCGGGGGAGGATTCCCCCAAGGGGCTGAAGCCAACTACCCCACGGGGTACATGACAGGAAGGAGCTGGTCGTTGGGTGGGGCTCTGGCCTGTGTGCCTCGGTCCTCTAAGGGCTCTGATCTGCTTGGGCCTAACCAGGCGGGTCCAGAAGGGCAGGCCAGGGTCACCTGCCATTGGACAACACAATGACACCATCCTGGGCCTCACCCCTCTCTCAAAGCCATCCGAAGGGTCATACAAAGAGTATTTTCTGTATCTAACTCGGGATCCTTGCTGTAAGTCCCACCTATTTCCTTTCTTCCTGCTGGGGTAAAGGAACGGTATCCATGTGACAGAATAGGCCCTGGGCTCTGAGGCCACTTCTGGAGTGACTTCTTGGACAAATCACTAGCCCTCTCTGGACTGTTAGGCTTGCCTATAAAATGATGGGTTAGAACTGTTTTCTTTCTCCTATTAAACCTAGCCCAGCAACCAGGAACAGTCTGACTCCAGCAGTAGTTTCTGGCTGGAAGAGGAGTAAGTTCCACAGGTGCTCCTGATTCCTTGGACTCTGAGTGGACATCATGACAAGCACAGAGGGCCATAGCATGCCCAGACTGTCCCCCACGCCCCCACGGGTGGACATCATGACAAGCATGCCCAGGCTGTCGCCCACCCCCCACTGGACTAACGGGTCTGTGGTGTGCCCACTGACCACTCACCAGGGGCACAGTTGTCCACCAGGGCGCCCAGAGCCTTGCCGTCCTGCCAGTCTCTATTAAAGTTGGTGATGGGCAGCTGGGGCACCTTGTTCTGGATCCAGCCAAGCAGACGCTGCTTGGGTGTTTGTTTGCGGGCGTCCTCGTCCTCCTCATCCTCCCACATGGGCATGGAAATGGAGTAGTGAAGGATCAGGGTCCAGATCAGGCCCAGGATCAGCTTCAGGTTCCCATCCACGATGGCCTTGCTGTCTGCAGAGCAAAGGGATCGAGGCAGCTCAGAAGGACACCTTGTGGTGGGACCCTCCATCACCCGCACGGCCCCCGGAGCAGTGTTGGGGCGATAGGGCTAGAGTCCCCTCCCTCTGGGACCTGTCTTCCCGGCCAACTTCTCTTTCACTCACTCCTGTGGACCTGGCCAGATCCAAGCCCTTTCTGGTTTCCTCTTCGTAAACAGGCTGCTTTCCTCCCTGGTACCACTTCCTCCGCCCCCAAGGCCATCCTCAGCGCTGGCGTCTCCCTCCCATCTAACAGGTGCCCTACTGAAATGCAGGCCTCTTGGGGGCAGACGCTGGTTTTGTTTAGAGTCAGGGTCTTATGTAGTTTGGACCCTCCAGCCTTTTCTCCTGAGTCCTGACATTACAGGCTTAGGTCTATATCAACTCAGGGTCTCATGTGTATCAGTTGAGGACTATACCAACTAAGCCATATCCCTAGGCCTCTTCTTTAACTGACTGACACACAAGCTGTGCACATTAGAGAATACAATCGGATAAGCTTTGACAATAAGGCATACCCACAAAACCATTGGCATAAAATAAAAAGTAAATATAAGCATCACTCCTCAAATTTTCTCATCTGTACCTCTCTGTGGTCCTCCTTCCTTCCTGTCATGCTCCCAACTTCTGTCTGTTTTCCAGATAGTTTGCATTTTCTAGTTTTATATAAATGGGATCAATTGGGATGTTTTTCTCCTTTTTCTTTTTGTTCTAGCTTCCTTCACTGAGACATTGAATTTTATCATGTGTGTTTGTGTGCGTGTCTATGTGTATCGAGTATGTGTGATATATGTGTATGAGTATGTGTGTGTATATATTGAATTGTGTATGTATGTGTTCAGTGCGTATACATGTGTGTATGTATGTGTATATATTGAGTGTGTGTATAATATGTGTTGAGTGTGTATATATGTGTGAGTGTGTATGTATGTGTATATATGAGTATATATATGTGTGTATATGTGAATGTGTGTATGTACATGAGTATGTGTATGTGTATATATGTGTGTATTGTGTGCATATAAGTGAGTGTGTGGTATGTGTGTGTATATGCATGTCTATGTATATATGTGAATGTGTATTTATGAGTGTGTATATGTGTGTATGAGTGTGTGTGTGTGTGTGTGTGTGGTGTGTGTATACCAGAAGTCGATGTCAGTTGTCTTCAATTATTCCCCACCTCACTTTTTGGACAGGACCTCTCCCTGAACCTGGACTTTATCAATTTGGTCAGGCATCCCCAAGGATTCTCCTCTCTGGGCCTCCTACTATTGGGATTACATGTGTACCCGCTTTTTACACGGGTGCTGGGAATCTGAGCTCAGGTCTTCAGATTTGCATTGCGTGTTCTTCACCAACCTAGCCACCTCCCGGGATTTTGTTTCTGCAGTGGAACTCCAGCTTTCAGGGTCTCAGTAAAAGTGGGTGACTAATTAAAGTTGAACAGGACCAGATAGATCCTACCTACATTCATGCCCCAAAGCTAAAAGGGCTTCTGAAATAAACAGGGTCTGGGAGGAGAGAAGGGGTACAGTGCATGCTTAGCTAAAACTTGCAAGTCATGTTGCCCAACGCTGAGGGGTTATGGCATTTCAGGGGAGGCAGGGGGATGTCACTCATGTGGCCTCAACTCTCGGAGACTTTGGACCCCAACTGGTAGGCCATATGTTTTGGCACCCAGCTTATTTGTATAGGGAAATGGAGGTCTGAAAGCTGTCAGTTTGTTTACTGATGTTCCTGAAAGACAAGAGGGGAGACTGGAGGCTCCCCTTACACGTCATCTCCGGTTCTCCTTTCCTCAGATCTTGGGGAGCCTCTGCCAACCTCCACTCCACCCCCACCTGCCCCCAGGCAGAGGAATCTATGCCCCCCATGCCCCACGGTCACTGATTCATTCTTCCTTCCCCAGGAGCTCTGCAGCCCGCCCCTTTCCGCCCCTTCCCCTGCTCCACTGCAGCACAATGGTTTGGCAGCGCTCAGATTCCATGACACGCCGCCTCCCAGTGCTCTCAAACACAGGCTCACAACACTTTCACACAGTCCGGACACTCGGAACCCCCCCCCCCGCCGTTCACAGCCAGCCTGGCTCCCAGACCCAGAAGGCTTATTTGCAAACTGGAACCAGACCCCTGGGAGGGAGACCTTGAAGCTGCAGCGTTGGGAGGGGGTGGAGCTGGAGAGGGTGTCATTCATGTTTGCTGGTAAGAGAGGTTTCTCCCTAGCATCTGGCCCTAGGCCAGACAGCAAGTGGTCCCCAGCTTGGGCAGGAGAGGGCGGGGTAGCAGGCCCAGGGTTCCATCCACCCTGGGAGCGATGACCTTCCTCTCTTTCCAACCCCTTAGGAGGCCGGGCAGGGGAGAGGGTGGTGGAGCTCAGTTCAACCCAGGCTTCTTCCCCCCCTCCCCAACATCCCACCAAGACTCTGCCTATCTGGGGATAACTCCCAGGGGTGGGAGGAGCTAGCCAGCCAGCCTGTGACCCCCACCCCTCTCCTAGAATAGAGGGGAGGAGACAGGCCTGGCCAAGGGAGGGGCTGAGACAGCTGGTGTCCCCTCCAGCCCCTCCCTCAGCTATTGGCTCTAAGAGAAGGAATAGCAACTGGAGAACAGCTGCGGGACAGGGCTGCCTCATAGGCCTCTTTGTTTGGAGGGGCGAGAGGGTGGCGGGGGTTGTGCCCCATGCTGGGGGTAAAAAGGGCAAGCAGCCCTTCACCACGCCGAGCCAGGCTTAGAACCCTTCTTCCAGGTGAACTTCCCTGTCAGCAACCTTTCCAGTGCCCGACTTTCCTTCTAGTAAGAAGTAGGGAATCTCTGAGAACCCCACCCTCAGGTGCCCAGATGTTCATTCAGTCCTGGGACAGGACCCCTTCCCACTTCTAGACAGGATGGGGAGCCAGAGTAAGCAGGATGACCCCCTTTGCGGCACCCCCTTCCATCGCCCCGGGATCGCTGGCTGGCGTCCGTGCCCCTTCGCCCCAGCCCAGCCCAGCCGCTGAATTGCTGACGGCTAATCTCATCGGCACAGGGTGAGCCACTTGGCCCAAACAGGGCACAATTCCCCTTCCTCTCAGCGGGAACCCGGGAGCTTCTCTCCCGCCCCCAAACCAACGCTGGTTTCTTCCCCCCTCTACTCTGGGTTGGCCCCTCCGCAGCAGAGCCAAGCGGGCTGGAGCCAGGCACCGCCATGGGGGGAGGGGAGAGGTGCGTAGGGGAAGGATGAGGCCTGGAGAGGGGCCCACCGCCCCCGCAGCCAGCAGGGAAGGCAGGCTGAGCCATTTCCTATAATGTCTTACAGAGGCTGCAGGCTTTTCCCTGGAGACCCCACCTGGGGCAGTCAGTGCTGCCTCTCATGTCCCCCCTTGAAGGGAGGTGCGGGGCGAGCCCCCGCCTCCACACCCATCCGACACTCTCCTGATTCCTAGCTCCACCACACACACCAGGGCCCCCTCCCCCACCCCTTGTCCTCGGGCTTGTCCTTCTGGAAAGCTCAGAGACATCTGCTGTGTCACGGAGACAGGGCTATTTCCAGGCCCGAGCAGGAGGGTGGGGTGTGTGTTGGGGGGGGGTAGTCCTGGGGCTAGAAGAGGTAAGGCCCCGGGGAAAAGCCTGGGCAGGGCAAAGGGCCCCTGACTGATCTCAGCTGCTAATTCAGGAGGCCTGGAGGCTGCCCTAAGGGAGACGAGTGAGTGGACAGACATCTAGTTTAGTAGTGAAGTCTCTGGGGACATCCTTTCGCGGTGGACAACACCTGGCACCATGTACGGTCCCCTTCTAGGGCCTCGGGTGCATCCTCCCAGGGGGTCTAATATTCCAGTAGGGCTCTAAGAGTTCCCCTAGGGTGCAAACTGGAAACGTTAGTCACAGCGGGGCAGGGCTGCAAGGTGGGGACGGTCTCTTGCCACCCAAAGCCCACCCTGGGCTTCTGGACTCCCAGGACTAGCGTGTCTCCCCACCCCCACGCAGAACTGACACACCTTCCAAATCTGGTTACACTCAGTGACTTCCTCTCCCGCGTTCCCCTCCCTCCAGGGCAACTTGACCCTTAGCTGCAGCCAATCCCAGGCCAGGGGGTGGGTTGGAACAGATCACGGACAGTCAGGAGTCCCCCTCCCAGGCGGCTGAAGCGACCAGGACAATCAGGAGTTAAAACTCCAGGCCGGTCGCTCATGCCTTTTTAGGTTTCTGAGGCTGGGCTCTGTTCGCCCCAGGCCGGCCTGATCCCAGATGGGGAGCACATGCCTGCAAACGGCCGGAGCTCCAGGCCACTAGCTTCCCCGGCTGGCCTCGGGGCCCTGAGCACCGGCGGTGGCTGGGACCTGTCTTCTGTTTGCTTTTGCCCAGCGGCGAAGGGGATGGGAAGCCATTTGCTTTCATGGGGGTGGCGGGAGACGCCCCCGGGAATTAACAATGGGCACCAGCCCTGTCCTCACAAGCACGCGCGAGGGCTGCCCGATGGAATGAGAAGGGGACCCTGAGCAGGTTGGTAGGAGTGCGCTTAGGGCGGCTGACGCTGAGAGGTTCGGAAAACTTGGGAAGGGCTGGACCTCCCAGGGGTGCCCGCTGTCCCAAGAGGGGTGTCGCGGCTGCAGCCTGTGCTGGTGAGGGGGAAACCAGGCCGGGGTCCCCTGGTGCCAGGGCGAGCGCGCTCTCTCGGCCGGCTCTCGGTACCCGCACCTGTGGACCCTGTCCCAACCCCCCACTGGGACCGAGCCCTGTCGCCAGCACTGACCGATGGACACGAGCTTGATGTGTTCGCGCTCCAGGAACTCCAGGGCCACAGACACGTTCTCCAGCTTCATCTGGCGGAAGTTGGGGCGCGGGTGGAACTTGCGGTACATGCGCTTCTGGCTGAGCACTTCGAGCAGCGCGATGAGGCGCAGCCCGTCGCTGAGGTCGCGCTGCAGGTCGGTCAGGCGCTTGCCCACACACTTCAGGTGCTCGTTGCACCATCGCGTGAAGGTGTTCTGCTGGATCTTCTTCCACGGCGCGTCCTCCGCTAGGTCCTTCTCGGTGGACGGCATCTCGTCCGCCTCGTCGGCCAGGCCGAGGCCGGAGGCGTCCGAGTAGCTGCCGTTGTTCATCATGCTGGCTGGCGCGGCGGGGGGCCGGGGGCGTGCGGCCTGGGGTCGGGCTGCGGGTGCTGGCGGGCGGGCGGGACACCGCGCTCTCGGTTAACTTCTCCCTGGCTGGCGGGGCTCGCGGGCCTCCTGGGCTGAGCGGCTGCGCTGTCCGGCTGGGGCTCTCTCTCTCGCTCCCGGGGCGGAGCAGTGCTCGGGAAGTGCGGGCCGGGCCCGGGCAGGGGGTTTAAGAAGCCCCCGGGCTGCCGACCCCCCCGCCGCGCTCGCGGCCCCGGGGTCCACGTCAGAGCGCCGGCCTCCCAGGAATGCCGCCCGGCCCGCGGGTGGGGGCCGCGCCGAGCCCCACGGCCCCGCCTCCGCCCGCCCCTCCTCCACGCAGCCCGCGGGAGCGGGATGGGGTGCGGGCGCTTGCCCCGCGCTGGTGCGCGCGCGCCCTAGCCCCCAGATCTAGTTCCAGTCATTCAGGGGTGGAGTGCACTCCTATCACACCCAGGCGGGATTAAAGGAATGAAGGGGGAAACTGAGGCAGTGGTTAGCGCTAAACACACTGATCTGGTGTTGACAGAACTTTCTGGAGTTGGTGACAAGGCTGTTGACACAACCTAGGAGCCCTGGCTTCTAGCCTGGTGTATTGTCCACCTGTGAACTCAGAAAGGAAGTGAGAGAGAGAGAGAGAGAGAGAGAGAGAGAGAGAGAGAGAGAGAGAGAGAGAGAGAGAGAGAGAGAGCAACCCCAGAGGAAGCAGGGACACTGACCAGGACAACTTGGGGCGGGGGAAGACCGGTTCAAGAGGCTCCCCTTGTTTTGCCACGTTACAAGCAGAAAACCCTTATTTGGAACACACACCCAGGGCCACAGGAGAAAGACCAAGGCTCCTGACCCTGACTCAGGGTCCCTGTCAGTAACCCATTTAGACTTAGTGGCTCAACCAAGCTGAGCTCAGAAAAGGGTACCCAGTAGTCACTTTGTGTGTCATCCCCCAGCCTGACTCAGCCTGATGAGGGGAGGGGAACACCCCCCCCGTAGTAAGTTCCAGGGAGCCCCCTGGGCAATATGCCCATAAGGGCCACAGGGCAGATCCTCCCAGGGAAAGCAGGAGTGTGCCAAACAGCGGGAAGAGCCCTGGCAGAGGAGTCGAGGGAATGTGACTGGGGCAAGTGGGCATGAAGTGAGGCAGGCTGGGAGCCTAGGCAGGAGTAGGCTGAGCATAAGCCCAGTACGGCAGGAGGCCTGGGGGGAGCTGACAGCAGAGAAACCGAGGTGATCACAGCAGCCTGTCACAGACAAGGGAAAGAGCTACAAAAATGCATCTGTGCCTTAAGGAGAGGTCAGGTGTGCTGGCACTTGCCAGAGTGTTTGTTCTCTGCTTTCCCGTCCTTCAAAACCAAGTAGGTTCAGGGTTGGAGGAAGACAGTCCTTAACTCAAGCCATGTGAGAGCTGAGGCTTGGGATGGTTATCTGACCCCATAGGTAAATCATTATTCCTCTGCTCCCAGTCATGGTATAAAGGGAGGGGATGGTGAACATCTTTGGGGGCTCTTTTCCCAAGGGCAGAGTGGAAGCAATGCCCATTATGGGTTTAAAAAGGAGCTTAGGGGCTTTGAGGGAGGCGGTGCCTGTGATGACATTTCATCAGTCACTTCTTTTCCTTCTCACCTAATGACAGGGCCCGGTCCTCAGGCAGGGAGTGGGGGAGGGGGGGAGAAGTGCATGGCTGGTGTGGCAGGGGGTGCCTCTGGGGCCCTGAGAATGACAGGAGAGGTATAAATAGCTTGGGCCCTGCAGCTCATGTTCTGTTGGCTGCCTGTGACGAGGTGCTCAGGAATTCCACTCTCCTGTTGGCAACCCCCCTCCTTGTCTCCCGAACTGTCATTCTCCCCAAGCCACCTCCATCACACGGCCAAAACCCCAGCAGGCACCAGCACTGTCTACTTGAGGCACTGAGCTCGCCTGTGGAGGGATGCCTAGCTCTGGACACATAGCTGGGTCTCACACTTCCACATAGCTGGGCCTCACAAGGGAGACTGTGTGTGTGTGTGTGTGGGGGGGTGGGTGTAGAGGCAGACTTCTAACAGCCAAACCCCGAGGGTCCAGGAGCACTAGGCTCCACGGTGTTGTCTTTGTTGAAGAAACAAAAATATAGGTCTGAAAGAGAATAGATTACTCTGGGAGTTACTGGAGAGGGAGGAAGGAGGTGGGCAGAGTACCTGGAGCTGACCCTTACGGTCGGTCCCTCATGGCTCCCAGTCTCATGCGTGTGTGGATGGTATGGGGGTCCCTAGCCAGGCCAGGGACTGTTCAGAGGGAAGCTAGCAAGGGGAGATTCGTGTGCAGGCCCCACATAGGAGGGAGGGAGTGCTGGGTTAACAGAGCCAGGCACGGAGCATCAATGGATTCCCATCACCCTCCTCCCAGAAACCTGAGCCTGTTGCTCTCCAGGATAAATCGGGGCCTGACTCAGGCCCCGGCAGGCAGCCTGTCACAGTCAGCCTACCTAGGAGCAGGCTGGTGACTCAGCCCTCAATATAGCCCATGAGCCCAGGCCCAGCCTCAGCCGTGCAGGCAGAACAGACCGTGCGCAATGCTGTCCTGGGGCCTGCCAAGGGGCCCCCACCCTGAGAAGAGCTAGCATGTTCTTCCCTTGCTCCCAGGCAGAGGTCCCAGGAGGGGCTTTACAGGTGGTTTCATCAGCTGAGTGGGGTTGAGAAGTGTTGGCTGGGGCCACAGGCTGTTTATAGCCCCCTGACTATCTGGTGACCTATCTCAGAGACCCAGTTGCCTGGCTCATCACCTGGGGCTGCCTCTCCCATCAAGGGACACTGCTTATCAGTACCAACAATGGTCATTTTTAACTTGGTTTGAAGTCACCGGAGTGAGTCCAATGTGCCAGGTTTGAAAGTTTTTGAGTTTTGCAACCAGAGGCATTCCCATGGTCACCTGTGACAATGCTAGGCCCCTGGAGTGGAGACCCTGACAGTCAGTGACACTGTGGCCTGGCCTGGATGTCAGGCAGGGTGGCAGAGGGGAGAAATACAGAGCCGAATCCCAGTCTCTCCACTTGTAGCTGTGCAGGTTACAGAACTTTAGTGGGTTACATAACTCTTTAAAGCCTCTTTTTCCTCATCTGTAAAATGGAGTTAGCAGTATCCTCAAAGAATGTGTAAAGACAAGAAGCAAAACAAACTAAAATAACATGGATGGTTACTAGCATGGTACCTGGCATTCGTTAGGTGACTGAAAGACCTCATCTGCTGTTTCTAAGACATTCAACCCTAACCCTTCCGCACAGCTGAGTGTCCACAATCCAGATCTCCATGTGGCTCCCCTCAACTTTCCCCTCCATCCCAATACTTAACCTGCCAGAACCAGCTGTGCTCTTTGGAGATACCTACTGTGTCCCCACAAGCAGCTGTCCTTGGCAGGAGCTGCAGGTGTCACTCTGCACTGCCTGCAGGCAGTGGGCAGAAAACAGTAGCTAGGGTTCTTCATTCTAACTGTACTAGATTGTGGTGCCTACCTGCCTGTGATTTTGAAAACACGCTTTCTCAGCTTCTCTGTGTCTTTTTAAGCTAAGTCAGGTGAATGTTTCACGTTTAACAAAAAGAGACCTGTTTCATGTGCTCTGGGAACACAGGGGCAATAATCCCTGAAGGCATCAAGTCCAGGTGAAGAGAGGGAAGGGTGTGTGTGTGTGTGTGTGTGTGTGTGTGTGTGTGTGTGTGTGTGTGTGTGTTACGTGCCTGTGAAAGCCAGAAGAGGGAGTTGGGTCCCCTGGAGTTGAGTTACAGGAGTTGTAGGTTGCCTAGTGTCGGTGCTGGGAACTGAACCCTGGTCCTCTGAAACAGGAAAGCACTCTTCACTGCTGAGCCATCTCTCCATCCCTAGGGCAATGTTCTGCAATGGGGAGAGGGCCAGGTATCCTCAAGGGAACAATTGTTGTTTGTGAGGAAAGGCAGGCCATATTCTGTCATTATCTAGACTTCTGGTCCAGGTCTCTTGGCTGCATGGACTGCCTACCAGAACCTTCTAATTCCAAATGATATTGGTGGTCCTCCATGTCATCTGGGCTGGGACCTACTGTCACTGACATGAGGCACTCATGGAATAGAGCCAAGCTGCATAAAAGACTCTCAAAGGAGCCGGGCGGTGGTGGCGCACGTCTTTAATCCCAGCACTTGGGAGGCAGAGGCAGGCGGATCGCTGTGAGTTCGAGGCTGGGCTGGACTGAAAGCCTCCAAAACAATACAGAGAAACCCTGTCTCGAAAAAACCAAAGGAAAAAAAAAAGACTCTCAAAGGAGTGCAGCTTCCAAGAAGACTCAGACAAACTGAACTACAAAGATTTTGAGACCAGTCAAGCTTCCTCGAAGAGGCTTAGACCGGCTGAGGTGCCTGGAAAGGACACTCTCCAACCTGTGGAGCTGCCTGCAGGCTGTGCAGTGTGCTCCAGACTCCCAGCGTTGTGAACTGCCACCGTGCTTGTGTGGGCTTTGGTGACACAGCTGTCTTTGAGTAATTTCTGCTCCTGTAAGTAACCCCAATTAAACTCATTGGTTCACCAAATTTGATTTCAGTGATATCTGTATTTTGGTCTGTCATGGGTTCCCTAACTACTGTGAATAGATGTGTGTTTCGACTCCCCAGGAAAAGTTTGTCACACAACAGAGGCAGAAAGTGGGGTTTCAAGGTCATAAAATCATTCTGTTCACTAGTTGGGGGTCTTTCATGTGGAACAATACTCTTGAGGATAACCAATCATAAAGGAAGGGCTTCACAGGAGTGAAATAGAAGCTCGCACACATTGTTCCAGTCATGCTGCTACCTCCTTTAAGTTATTCTCAGTCCTGTCCAGCATTAAGCTCCAGGAGGCTGAACTTGAAGTATAACATCGCCTTGGCACATCTACTCTCTGGTTCACGATAGCTTCAGCCAATGAAATGCCACTGGGATACAGGCTGATGGGAGGAAAGGGTACTAAATTTCTCCCATCCTCATAGACCTGGTACAGCATTCCTGTCAGGGTTCCAGCTTCAAAAAAGTATTATTTGTGTGTCAGGTGAGTGAGTGAAGGCATGCACACACCATGGTGCACATTTGGAGGTCAGAGGACAACTTCCAAGAATCGGTTTTCATTCCACTATGGGTTCAGGGAATTGACCTTAGGTCATCAGGCTTGCTCAGTATCCTAGTTAGCTTCAGCCGTCAACTTGACAATAGCCTGAAGTAACCTGAGGGAATCTCAACTGAGGGAGGATTGCTAGGATCAGGATGGCCATGTTTGTGAGGGATTGT